TCGACACAGGGAAGACAGGGAGGAGCAGGAGAGGGCGGGAGGGGAGGGAGTACCCGGGGAAGACCAGAGACAAGGTACCGTTTGTGCATGCCACGAAGGCGCTGCACTGACGGGTGACCAAGGCGGTGGTGCCAGAGGACGGTCTCGTGTGCTAGAGAGCGACACGAGCAGGGGGCAGACAGCTGACCTGAAGCAGACGCAGACGCAGCTACCTGAGGGGACTCAGTGGTCAGTGTGTACAAGTCCGACCCCGGCTGCCTAGTGAAGGTAGCCAGGTGACGACCCGTCCGAGCGCACGTGCAGTGTGTCACACGCTCGTAGGCAGGGGTGAACTGGTGGACACCCCCGTCCTGGAGCGCACTACCCGCCACCAAGTTCGTGGAGAACGAGGGGAGGTAGAGACCTGACAGTGTGCCCGACGGGACCGCAGGACAAGGGAGGACAGTGGAGGAGGTCGCAATGACCGGACCCCCAGAGGGGTCAGCGAGGGAGACAGCAACTGGCCGAGCAAGCTGCTCAAGGGCAGTGCGGTCACGAAAGAAACAGCGAGAAGCACCTGAGTCCAGTGTGAAGGTGTGCAGTGCCTCAGTAGACGCAGCGGGCGCAGACTCGCGAGCACCTAGAGCAGCAGCCTCACCAGCACCTGAGGCAGCAGACACACTAGCACCTAGAGCAGCAGCCTCACTGGTCCTAATGCCCGGGTCGGGCGGGACACACAGGTAACAGTCACCCTCTCCACTAGTAGACATCACATACATGGCACCAAGGATAGCATCAAAGTTAAGAGCATAGACATCAATGTTTTTCTTGATCAGATCAAACCAACGAGGCAGCTCAGTAGCAGCCGGAAACTGGGTGCGCCAGGCGTCGTCGAGGCGGGAGAAGCAGCGCTGCAGGGTGTGCGCCCTCCCACACGGCTGACCAGCGCGGTCACCTGTGCGGATGACGTACGGGCAGCTAAGGCCACCCCCACCACGCTGAGAGTACCACTCACGGAGTTCCTGGGGCGACAGGGTCTGCTGCTGGCGCAGGCCACCGCCCGAGCTGCCACGAGCTCCACTGCCTCCACCGCCCCCACGACCACCACTGCCACCGCGGCCGCCGCCGCCACCACCACTGCCCCAACCCCGGCCACCTCCTCCACCACTACCGCCACCACCCCCGCCGCTGCCGCCACCACTCCCGCCGCTGCCGCCACCACTCCCGCCGCTGCCATCACCACCCCCGCCGCTGCCACTGGCCCCTCCAGCCCCGCCACCACCCCCACCGCCCCCACCGCCCCAACCACCGCCGCCCCCATCATCACCGCCGCCCCCCTTGCCCCCCTTGCCCTTGCCGCTGCAGCGCCTCACACTCGCAGTAGACGCAGTCCCGACCTTCTCAGCACCGAGAAGGTCGACAGCAGCAGCAGAGGCAACAGAGGGAAGAAGAGGGGAGGGGGAACACCCCTCGAAGAAGGGGGTGCGGGGGTCGCCTCGAGACGCACCGACAGCTACTGTACTAGACTCGGCTGCCAGCAGGTGCTTCTCAAGCAGGTTAATGGTGAGCTCGGTGGGGCACATGGCAACGAAGGTGTCCCTGACCGCACGAAGGGAGTCAGGGAGACGGGTGACCAGGTGGTAAAGAGTGAGCCACAGCGGGGGGGGGTTCTTGGCAAGAAACTCAGCGGGCATGGCAGCACGGAAGCGGATCTCAGTAGTGCGGAGGTGAGTAATGAGGTCGGCAACCGTAGAGAATGTGGCCAAGTCTGGGAACAGGTAGGGCAGTGAGAGGCGGCCTTGCGCAGCAGAGGAAGTCGAGGAGTAGCGAGCAACGACAGCTTTGTACAGCGACTGAGCAGTCTTCTGCTGGCTAAAGTGCTCGCGTTCATCTACCGGCAGGGAGTTGCGAATGGCGAAGCGAGAGTGGGCGTCACGAGTCTGCCACTGTGAGCGAGTAGTACTGTCAGCTGTCTCAGCAGGGGCAGGAGCGAGGCCTAACGCATGGTCATACAGGGAGATATCCTCCTTAGCAGAAAGCTGGAGGAAGAGATGGAGGTCATCGAGCCAGGTGTCAAAGCGGATCGGGCAGCCCTCAGCATCGAAAGCTATAACTGCAGGACTAGCCATAGTTTCAGTAGGAGCAGTAGGAACAGTAGGAACAGTAGGTACAGTAGTAGCAGTGTGACAGTACAGCGCGGCTCGGGCAGGGCGGCGCGGCGCAGCTCGGGCAGGGCGGCGCGGCGCGGCTCGGGCAAGGCGGCGCGGCGCGGCTCGGGCAGGGCGGCGCGGCGGCTTGCTCCTGCGGCTGTGCGCGTGACCGTGCGTGCAGTCGTGCGTGCGGCCGTGCGTGCGGTCGTGCGTGCGGCCGTGCGTGCGGTCATGCGTGCGGTCGTGCGTGCGGCCGTGCGTGCGGTCGTGCGTGCGGCCGTGCGTGTAGTCGTGCGTGCGGCCGTGCGTGTAGTCGTGCGTGCGGCCGTGCGTGCGGTCGTGCGTGTGGCCGAGCGTGCAGCTGCACGTGCGGCTACGCTAGCTGCTGCGCGTGCTGTCGTACGTGTGGCTGCGCGTGCGGTCTATCGTGCGGCTGCGCGTGCGGCGGAGTAGGCGGCTGCGCGTGCGGCTGACGGGCGGCTCGCGCGGCTGTCCTATGGGCGCGCTACGACGCTAGGAGGAGGGGCGCTCGACGGCGCGAGGAGGAGGGGCGCACGACGGCGCTAGGAGAGGAGGCGCTCGACGGCGCTAGGAAACGAGGCGCTCGACGGCGCGGCGGAACGGTGGGCCCTACCGAACGTGGGTCCTAGGTCCTAACCTAGGCGTCGGATACCATGTTAGAAGATAGTACTGCACGAGAATGAATGAACTAGGAAGAAGTTGGGTACAAGTAGGAAACCCTAAGTTTGTTGTACCCCCTATGACTAAACCCACTATAGCCTACACAATATATAAACATATAATGTTTGACATACGCCACGCGCCGAGAGATGCAGCGCGTGATCAGCAGCGAGGCAACTTGAGGATCGGCCCGCTCGATGAGTGGTAACGGTTTCGCCAGGTCCCTCAGCTGCCCTGCCAAGAACACAGCTGCCCCGTCGGCTGCCCCCATAAAACTCCCAAGCAGACGGACGCCGTCCGTGCAGAACGGCACCCCTGGAGGCAGCCCAGTGGAGTCGCACGTGGCAGCGCTCCATGCCGTGCACTTCTGCGGACTGTGTTTCAAGCCCAGTGATTCCAACTTCGTGGTGAAGTGGTTGAAGGCAGCTACAGTTGCACGTTGTTCACCCACGAATGTCACGTCGTCTGCATAAGCCAAACAAAGCACCCCAGGGAATGCTGCTGCAGTGTCGCGAAGTGTGGGGTGGATTCCCGCCGCAAACAGAAGTGGGCCCAGTGGATCGCCCTGGCGAACGCCCCGTTCACTACGCAGGGGCTCGCTCGCAAAGTTCGAATCCAGATAGAGCCGAGATGGGTTACCGTAGGTCAGGCGAACCAGTGGGAGTAGAGGCGATAGAGTTGGCTCTTGTAACGCTGCTGCGATGGATTGTCGCGAAATGCTGTTGAAAGCATTCGCGATGTCGGTCTGTAGTACCAGGCTGTTCGGGTGGCCATCCACATATGTTCGGGCGGCATGAATTATCGCTTCCGCCCCACCTGGCACCGCCACTCCGTACTGTAGGGGTAGGAAGTGATCACGTGCAGCTTCGCCCATGACCAACAGCGCAGCCTTGGCAGCCAAACGCGTCAGACATTCGCCGATTGCGATTGGTCGGGCACCTCCTCCAGGCTTGGCCAGGGCAATGAGTCGAGATGCTGTCAGCAGGTCCGCCACCGAGGCTGGGAGGTTTCCCCCTAGAATTGTGTTTACCAAGGCGTGCAGATGGGTGCAGACGGATGCATTGGTTACGGCCGCGTCGCGAAGATGCTCAAATGTGGTCCCTGAGGGTCCGGCCCCCACACCATTATCGCATCGCCCAAGGAGTTTCGCAAATTCAGCGTGGGAAATGCCCAGGGGTCGGGTGTCGGTCTGTTGCCAAGCCAGCGACTCTGGCCCTGCTGGCGGGTGTTTCTAGCGAAGATCAGCCAGAATTTCTGGACTCGGCGTGCAGACGGGTGTTGACTCGAGCGCCAGCACGGCTCGGCGCGGACTGCCGCGTTTTGCCAATCCCTCCGCTCGACTCAATACACCTGTCACGTCGGGTTGGTGACGCGGGGGCGGAGGGGAGTTGACCGCGTTTACTGCCTCCTGGTAGAGCTGCGTCCACTCGCCACGCTGGAAGGCCCGTAGCCGGGCCTTGATTTGTGGCCAGTTCGGGTGCTTTGGCGAAGCTTGGCGAAGTGTTAGACGCGGGAGGAAGAGGAGCAGTCGCCAGCCAGCCTCGGAATCAGGGTTTCGCGAGAGGTGGTGTAGGGGTGTCAGGAGTGCCAGCGAAAATAGCTGGCACAAATTTGGCGGTAATCGCCTTGACAGGGGCGGTTGTCGACTGTCGCAGAGGGCGGAAATATCCCAGTTCGCGATGTCAGCGAACATCTCGCTCCTCTCTGCCAGCTCCTCTGGCGAAAAATAGCGGGGCAACTGCGGTGTCGCGACTGACGAGTGGTTGGGTAATGCGGTCCGATTTCTTTGTGCGCGGCTCGATCTCGCTGACTGCTGCCGCGATGGGTTCACGTCCGTTCGATCAGCCGCCGACGGCCCCGATTGCCCGTGCGTTTCTGCCGTGGCTAAATTGGCTGCACCTGGTCGTCTTCTCCCTGGTCCTTCCCTTGTTATCTCAGCACCAACTCCCTCCTCGTTTTCACTCTCTGGCTCCACTTCCACGCTATAAGAGGGGTCATTTCTTTCCTCGACTTCATTAGCTGCCACCAGTGATATTAAAGCCCTTCGCCCTGCCGCCTGATACCTGTTCTCCGGTCCTCCGCCTGCTCCGCTAACCACCTGGCTCCTCTCTTCTCGAGCCTCCCGTCCACGCGATGGTGATTGCTGGTGCGCCTGAGCCGACGCTAGAGCTCGTTGCCTCCTGGTCGGCAATGGTCTCCAGGCCTCCGTCTGAGCCCGAAAGGGCGACCACGGCGACGAAGCCCCCTCTGCCTCCGGCTCCGAAGCCCTCGACAACAACCTCTGAAAAGGTTCCTCCCCCCGGACCCGAAGCTCTCCTTGTCGCGGATGCGCCTGGTTCAACGGCGACTGTTGTCGCTCCGGCTCCTGCACCTCCCGCTGCTGTTCCCTCCGCCCAGCCAGTGCCGGCTGAACCCCAGGCTGAGCCTCAGGCGTCCCCTGCTGCACCAGCGGTGTGTGTCGCCGACCCCTCGGCTCCCTTGCCTGCGGGGCTTGTTGTCGCGCCTGAGTTGCCGACTCCTGCCTCTGCCTCGTCCCCGCAGGCGGCGTCCGCCACCACTGGCGGCCCTGCCCCGTTGGTTGCGCCGCCGGTTGGTGGACCGGCTGCACCTGCTGTGCCATCGACTGCTCCTGTGGTGCAGATGTCTCGCCCGCCGTCACCTGGCCGCCGCCCATCTCGCCCTCATTCTCCCGCTCCCCAGCAGGATCGTCAGTCCTCCCGGCGTCGGCGCAATTCTCCACGTCGGCCGCATCAGCAAGCCCAGTGGCACGCGAACCGCGGCAGCCACAGTGGCTGGTGGGGTCCCCGCGGCCGCGGTGGTGGTGGGGCGTACGATCCGCCGGTGAGGATGGCGGATCTGCAGCGGGCGGTGTTAACTGCGGTGCGTGAGGAGAGGGCCGCCCTGACCCAAGGCAGCTCTCACGCTGTCGTGGCACGTACTGCTCCCCGACAGGCTGTTCTTCCGGTGGATCAGCCGCCTGCCGCTCCCGTCCCGCATCAGAATACTGCCCCGTCGCCTCCCGCTGCCTCTGCCTCTGCTCCTGTTCCTGGCTCTCGGCTTCGCCTCCCGCCCGTTCCGCCTGTGGCGGGAGTTGAATTTGTGGCGGCGGGGGGGGGGTCGCAGTATCCCCATCCCGGGGTTGGCGGTTCTGCAACTCTTGCCCTCGAGGAGCCGTTTCAATTTCTGGCGCAGGCATTACAGCCTCCGCAGTCCCGCGTTCCAGAGGCCACTCTCGCCAAGCTCTTCCGCCTCGCGGAGAGCTTTCATGCTCTGCTCCTGATACAGGTTCTCGCGCATTCGTCACTTCCCGCTGTTCCCCCCGAGACGTTCCAGGATCGCCACCGCGATTCGTGCCTGGATGCAGCCGACCAGCTCGCAGTGCTGCTGGCGCCCGTGTTGGCTGCGCCCGTAGAGGGTGGAGTTGCGGCTGCTGGGCAGCTCGATGAGGCTGTACGCAGCCTGAGGCGCCATTTGCGTGCAGGTTCTGGAGCCGCCGCGATCGGCGCAAGCACGCTTGTGGTCCGGGAGCTGTGTGTCAGATTTATATGACAGAGCTACTGTAGGCTATAGTGGGGTAGCACATATGGGGTACAGTTTTCTAGGGTTTGTATTTGTACCCAACTTTCCCTTAGTCATTCTCATTCCTGTTTTCTTAATTCACATGGTATAGAGCGGGTTCCTACATGGGACCGTTCCTTCCTAAGGGCCCACCATAACGAAAATTTTTTTTTTAGCTGCCCAAAGCGCATTGCGCCCCTGCCCTAATTTTTTTTTTTAGCGCCCCCCCCCCCCTAGCGGCCCCTACGCGACCCCTACGCGGCCCCTACGCGGCCCCTACGCGGCCCCTACCCGGCCCCTACGTCGCCCCTGACGCGGCCCCTACGCGGCCTCTGACGCGGCCCCAACGCGGCCCCTGACGTGGCCCCTACGCGGCCCCTGACGCGGCCCCAACGCGGCCCCTGACGCGGCCCCAACGCGGCCCCTGATGCGGCCCCTACGCAGCCCCTGACGCGGCCCCTGCCGCGGCCCCTGACGCGGCCCCTACGCGGCCCCTACGCTGCCCCTGAGGCGGCCCCTAACGCGGCCCCTGACGCGGCCCCTCCGCCGCCACTACCGCGGCCCCTACGCCGCCCCTGACGCCGCCCCTGACGCGGCCCCTGCCGCGGCCCCTGACGAGGCCCCTGACGCGGCCCCTGACGCGGCCCCTGCCGCGGCCCCTGACGAGGCCCCTGACGCGGCCCCTGACGCGGCCCCTACGCCGCCCCTGACGCGGCCCCTGACGCGGCCCCTGACGCGGCCCCTGACGCGGCCCCTGACGCGGCCCCTGCCGCGGCCCCTGCCGCGGCCCCTGACGCGGCCCCTGACGCGGCCCCTGCCGCGGCCCCTGCCGCGGCCCCTGACGCGGCCCCTGACGCGGCCCCTTCGCCGCCCCTGCCGCGGCCCGTACGCCGCCCCTGACGCGGCCCTCTCCTGCACCTGACGCGGCCCCTAGCGGCCGGCCACTGCCGTCCCTGAGGCAGCAGCCGCCGCCGTCTCTGCAGCAGCAGTCGCAGCCGAACGGCCGAGCTGCCGAGCCGCCGAGCCGCCGAGCAGCCGAGCCGCCCAGCCGCCGAACCGCCCAGCAGCCGAGCCGCCCAGCAGCCGAGCCACCGAGCCGCCCAGCAGCCGAGCCGCCGAGCCGCCCAGCAACCGAGCCGCCGAGCCGCCGAGCCGCCCAGCAGCCGAGCCGCCGAGCCGCCCTGCAGCCGAGCCACCCGAGCCGCCCTGTCCGGTAAGAGCAGCGCCCCTTTCACAGCACTGCCCTCACCCTACTGTTTGCGCTGCTAGTCTACTACTGTCATGGCTACCCCTAGTGTCCTCGCTTTTGACGCTGAGGGTCGGGCCATTGACTTTGATGTTTGGATAGATGACCTGCAGCTTTTCTTACAGTGCGACAGGGCAGACGGCCTCTCCCTCTTTGACCTCACTTCTGGTGCCTCTCCTGCCCCCGCTGCTGATGCTGACGCCACTGTTCGCTCACAGTGGGCCACGCGCGATGCTGCTGCACGTCTTGCTGTGCGTCGCCACCTGCCTACCTCTGAGCGTGCGCACTTTAGCCAGTACAAGAGTGCTCAGACCTTGTACGACGCTGCTACTCCTCCCCTGCCACTGCTGCACTGAGCCGCCTCATGCTACCGTACCTCTTCCCTGACCTTGCTGCCTTTCCCACCGTCGCTGACCTCATTACGCACCTCCGCACTAGTGACACTCGCTACCGCGCTGCGCTTCCTGCTGAGTTCTGCGCCAAGAACCCCCCCCCCATGTACATCACCCTCTACTACATAGTCACCCGGCTCCCTGACTCCCTTCGCGTAGTCAGGGACCACTTCCTCTCAGTTTGCCCCACCACTCTCACCGTTGACCTTCTCGAGAAGTCCCTCCTAGCAGCAGAGAAGAGCATAGTCGCTGTAGGAGCCTCTCGTGGTGACCCTCGCACCCCCATCTTTGAGGGGTGTTCCCCCTCCCCCCTTTTGCCCTCTGTTGCCTCTGCTGCTGCGGCCGACCTCGTTGGGCTTGAGTCGGTCGGTGCGGCGTCTACCCCTAGCAGGAGACGTCGCCCTGGCAAGGGCAAGGGGGGCAGGGGCACTCGAGGAGCTAGCGGGGGCGGTGGAGGCGGAGGTGGAGGCGGTGGAGGGGGTGGGGGTGGCGGTGGGGGTGGTGGCGGGGGTGGAGGTGTCGGTGGCGGCAGTGGAGGCGGAGGCGGAGGCGGCGGTGGCGGTGGGAGCGGAGGTGGCGGAGGTGGAGGAGGAGGCGGCGGAGGAGGTGGAGCTGGTCGGGGTGGCGCTGCGCAGAGGGTCGGCTCCGGTGGTGGTCAGCGCCAGCAGCAGCAGCAGCAGCAGCAGCGCACTCGTGACATCCCCTCCCCTCAGCAGCTCCGTGAGTGGTACACTGCACGCCAGAGGGGTTGGGGTACTGGTCCGTGCACCTACGTCCTCCGCACCGTCGACCGCGCGGGTGACCAGTGCGGGGGTGCGCACTAGAGCTTCGGCTCGGACTTTCCTGTTCTGCGTCTGCACTCTGACAGAGGTGGAGAGTTCTCCTCTGGCCTTCTGCGAGCCTACTGTCGTGCACGAGGCATCCGCCAGACCTTCACGCTTCCGGAGTCTCCACAGCAAAATGGGATTGCTGAGCGCCGCATTGGCATGGTCATGGACGTCGCCCGTACGTCCATGATGCATGCGGCTGCCCCCCATTTTCTGTGGCCGTTTGCTGTTCGGTACGCGGCGCATCAGATCAACCTTCACCCCAGGGTCTCCATGCCGGAGACCTCCCCAGCCTTGCTGTGGACGGGGAAGGTTGGCGATGCGTCTGTGTTCCGTGTCTGGGGATCTCGGGCGTTTGTCCGCGACTTGTCTGCGGACAAGCTGTCCCCTCGTGCTGCTCCTTGCGTCTTCCTTGGCTTCCCCCCTGATGCGCCAGGGTGGCAGTTCTACCACCCCACCTCTCGCCGTGTTCTGTCCTCCCAGGACGTCACGTTTGACGAGTCGGTCCCCTACTACCGCCTCTTCCCCTACCGCACTCCGTCCCTCCCCCCGCCACCGCTCTTCCTTGTACCAGGTCCCCCCCCGGTAGACCCCCTCCCCCCTCAGGGTCCTGCCCCTTCAGGTGTGTCCCAGGTAGACGCAGTCGAGCCTGTCGAGGTTACTGGTGACTCTGGTGCTGCTGAGGGTGCTGAGCCTGGGGGTGCTGACTCTGGGGGTGCTGAGCGTGTGGGTGCTACGCCTGGGGGTGCTGAGCCGGAGGGTGCTACTACTGGGGGTCCTGAGCCTGGGGGTGCTGAGCCTGGGGGTGCTACTACTGGGGGTGCTGAGCCTGGGGGTGCTGAGCCTGGGGATGCGGAGCCTGAGGGAGCTGGGCCTGCTCGTGTGGCGTCTGGCGGTGCTGAGCGTGGAGGTTCTCCGGGTGCTTCGTCTCGGCGGGAGCCACTCTCTCCACAGGAGCTGCGCGAGTGGTTTGCCCGGCGCTGGAGGCGTGCTGCTGGAGCTGGAGGTTCTTCGGCTGCTGAGGGTGCTGGTGCCGTGGGTCCCGGAGGTGCTCGTACTGGGAGTACTGGAGCTGCTGGGCCTGCGGGTACGACTGGAGCTGGAGCTGCTGAGGGTGTTGGCGCTGAGGCTACTGCTGTCGGTCCTGGAGGCGGTCCTGCTGGGGGTACTACTGGTGCGGCTGGAGGTCCTGGAGCTGGAGGTGCTTCTGGCACTGGTGCTGCCGCTGGGGGTACTGGTGCTGTCCCTGCTGTGTCTGGAGTCGCCGCGCGGCCTCGGCCGTACTTCGTTCCGCTCCTTCAGCAGGTTCTTGGTCTCCCGCCTTCTACTGGTCCTCCTCCTCCCTTAGAGTGTCCGCAGCCTGTCCTGTCACAGTTCCAGTTACAGCCGGCCTCCCCACTGCCCGCTCCCTCTCCCTACACTGGTCCTACTGGAGGTCTTGCTGAGCGTCGTGAGCCTGCGTCCCGCCCTGCGTCGCCTGTCCGTGCTGCTCGCACTAGTGGTCGTGGTTCGCGTCAGCGTCCTCCTCCTGTCCCTGGCACACACCGGATGTCTCTGCGTCCGTCCACTGCTCCTCTGCGTGCCCCTTTGCCTTCTCCTCCTGAGTCCTCTCTTCCTGCTCTTCCTGACCCGGAGTCGGACTCTCTTCGTGCTGCCAGTCCTACTGTCACACGTCTCCTTGCTACTGTTGTCACTGACCCTTCCTTTGAGTCCACTGCTGCGTCTGCCCTAGTTACTGAGCTCGTCGACTTTGCTGCTCGCTGTCGTCTAGACTACGCTGCTAGTCTTGTTGCTGAGTCTGTCTGTCCTCCGTCCGTCGGGGGTGAGTGTGCCCTTGGCACGGACGTCCTTGAGGACAGGCAGGAGGAGTTCCAGTGTTTGGCTGCTGCTTCACCTCATCTCGTGTCCGTACTGCTTACCCCTGAGGGAGACCCGGATGCACTTGACATCCCGACTCCGCGCTCTTACGCGGAGGCGATAGAGGGTCCCTACTCCTCTCAGTGGCAGGCAGCTATGGACGCAGAGATGGCTTCCTGGAAGTCCACAGGCACCTACGTCGATGAGGTTCCCCCGCCTGGGGCGAACATCGTCAGTGGCATGTGGATTTTCAGGGTGAAGCGGCCGCCGGGTTCTCCGCCTGTCTTCAAGGCGCGTTACGTGGCTCGTGGCTTTAGTCAGCGGCAGGGAGTTGACTACTTTCAGACCTTCTCTCCCACCCCGAAGATGACCACTCTTCGGGTACTGCTGCACGTAGCTGCTCACTGCGACTACGAGCTGCACTCTCTTGACTTCAGCACTGCTTTCTTGCAGGGTAACCTGCACGAGGAGATCTGGCTGCGTCGCCCACCTGGCTTCACTGGGTCTTTTCCTCCTGGCACCCAGTGGAGCCTCCGGCGGCCAGTCTACGGTCTCCGCCAGGCACCGCGTGAGTGGCACGACACACTGAGGACTACACTTGCGGCTCTTAGGTTTGCTCCCTCTACTGCCGACCCGTCGCTGTTTCTGCGCACCGACACTTCTTTGCCGCCGTTCTACATCCTCGTGTACGTCGACGACTTGGTCTTTGCCACAGCTGACACTGCTGGACTCGCCCACGTGAAGTCCGAGCTGCAGAAGAGACACACGTGCACAGACCTGGGTGAACTGCGCAGCTACCTTGGCTTGCAGATCACCCGGGACAGAGCACGCCGCACCATTACCCTGACTCAGTCACACATGGTGCAGCAGGTCCTTCGGCGCTTCGGCTTCACGTACTCCTCGCCTCAGGCCACTCCTCTGCCTACTCGCCACTCGCTCTCAGCTCTGCCTTCGGATGAGTCCGTAGAGTCGAGTGGCCCGTACCCAGAGCTTGTTGGCTGCCTCATGTACCTGATGACCTGCACACGACCTGACCTTGCATACCCTCTTAGCATTCTCGCACGCTATGTTGCTCCTGGGAGAAACAGACCGGAGCACATGGCTGCAGCGAAGAGGGTGTTGCGCTACTTGTGCAGTACGTCGGGCATGGGGCTTGTGCTTGGAGGGCAGAGTCCAGTGGTCCTCACTGGGCACGCAGACGCTTCTTGGGCTGACGACCAGGCTACGCAGCGGTCGTCACAGGGTTACACCTTCAGCCTTGGTTCCGGTTCTGTTTCGTGGCGGGCTACCCGCTCGTCTTCTGTTCTCGGCTCCAGTTGTGAGGCTGAGATCTACGCTGGGGCCATGGCTGCACAGGAGCTTCGCTGGCTCACCTACCTGCTGACTGACCTCGGAGAGCCGCCTCGTTCTCCTCCAGTGCTGTACGTAGACAACAAGGCCATGCTGGCCTTGTGTCGAGAGCAGAGACTGGAGCACAGAACGAAGCACATTGCTCTCCGCTACTTCCTTGCTCGTGAGCTACAGCAGCGTGGTCAGCTGCGACTTGCGTACGTGGCCTCTCAGGCCAACACTGCTGATATCTTCACCAAGGCACTTGCGCCTTGTGATCATCAGCGTTTCTGTACTCAGCTGGGCCTTGTGCCTACCTTGCCTCACTTGCTCACCCCTTGACCTTGTTTGTACTGTTGCATATATATATACACGTGCTCTTGCTTGTCTAGCCTTATATATATATATGTAATCCTGCATGTGAACTGGCCTTGTGGCCTTGAACTTGTGCTCGGAATGTGTGGTGACTTTGTAATCCACCCTGAGCTTGCTTTGCTTTGCTTGACTGGTCTTGTGACCCCTTGTTCTCCCCCACTTTGCCTATGGGGGTGTGTCAGATTTATATGACAGAGCTACTGTAGGCTATAGTGGGGTAGCACATATGGGGTACAGTTTTCTAGGGTTTGTATTTGTACCCAACTTTCCCTTAGTCAATTCATCCTCATTCCTGTTTTCTTAATTCACACCGTGGCGCTCCCTGACGCGCTCTCTCTCTCTCTCTCTCTCTCTCTCTCTCTCTCTCTCTCTCTCTCTCTCTCTCTCTCTCTCTCTCTCTCTAATGGTCCGTATATTGATAGGGCAGAAAGGTACACACATACAGGTTCAGAATCATGCAATTTCAGCCTAATCCTTCTACTGTTCCACCAGTGGCTCCAAAACAGCGAAACAATCCCCTAGGTGTAGTGCATGGCCAATACCCCCTACCGGGGGGTTCTCAGCTGCTGCCGCCTCACCCAATTTCATGAGGAGGCCCACCGACTGTGCTCTCTGAAGAGCAACTGACCACCGCTGCCTGAACTGATGCAGAAACTTAGCGGCATGATAGGAGTTAGAATCGGCGTTGAAGTGGTGCCGAGCCGCTGTGTCTGCCAGGAGTTTAAGGAAGACGGGGACCTCTGCACATGGGCAGCCGTAGGTCTCCACCGCCAGTGGAAAGAAGCCGACTGTCTCAGGTCTGTTCGCATAGTGCTGAATCTTTTTGTCGGCCTGCTCCCGGGCCGCCCATCCCCTGCCTTTCTGTGCCTGTGGGTCCCGAGTACTGATGGGGTCCGTCACGGTCACGTCGCATACCCAAACCGCCCCACTGCTCCTATCGGTCATGGTGAAATCGGCCGTCTGCTCCTCGATGGGGCAGTGGGCGGCCGACTCGCTGTGGACTATGAAACCCGCGTCCTGCGCCATACTAATGCAAGCATCCCGGAGCTCGTTGTGGGTGTTGATGCGATGCTTGCCGGTGCCGCAGCGTAGGAGGTGGTTTGGGAGGCGGGGGTCCAGGATTTCGGTGTGATCCGAGCAGTCACAGTTTTTGGGGGTGGAGAAGGGCAACCCAAGCCTGAATCTGACGGCATTGGCAAAGTGTACCGGCCCTATGTGCCTCGTTGCTTCTATAGGAATTGCCGTCAGCCAGTCCCCCGTGCCATAGCCCGTTAGCGAGAACATCCGCTGCGTATGGCCCGCCAGCGGATTCAGCTCCATGTCTCTCGTCGCCTGAACTTGTACAGCGTAGCGGCTACCGTGGACCTGTAGGGCAAGGGCATGCTGTAGCTTGACATCCGTCCGCTTACTTCGTTCCCGTTCCAGCAGCTCTCGCGCATCCGATGGCAGGGCAGTCTCGCACTCGGCGAGCCAGGAGTGAAGCGGTGTGCTCTCGTTCCTAGGCTGGAGCATATGGTAGCGCGCGTGAGATAGTGCGGAGTCCGTGTCTAGCACGAGCGCGGAGAAGAGCAGAGCCGCCTGTGTGAAGCTCGCGACGAAACCGTAAACTCCCTCAACGAGGGGGTCTGTAATGCCTATTCCACCAAGCGAGGGGGGCAGGGACGCTTGCGCCCAGACGCGTGACTGTTCTGCTCTGCCCGCCGGTGCGCGAATGTTGCACGAGGTAAGGAGTGCTAAGAGGAGGTCACGGCCCCACTCAGTCCATGTATCCCGGGAGACGAGGTTAAGTGGAGTTGTTCGGGTGAGATACGCCACGCGCCGAGAGATGCAGCACGTGATCAGCAGCGAGGCAACTTGAGGATCGGCCCGCTCGATGAGTGGTAACGGTTTCGCCAGGTCCCTCAGCTGCCCTGCCAAGAACGCAGCTGCCCCGTCGGCTGCCCCCAGAAAACGCCCAAGCAGACGGACGCCGTCCGTGCAGAACGGCACCCCTGGAGGCAGCCCAGTGGAGTCGCACGTGGCAGCGCTCCATGCCGTGCACTTCTGCGGATTGTGTTTCAAGCCCAGTGATTCCAACTTCGTGGTGAAGTGGTTGAAGGCAGCTACAGTTGCACGTTGTTCACCCACGAATGTCACGTCGTCTGCATAAGCCAAACAAAGCACCCCAGGGAATGCTGCTGCAGTGTCGCGAAGTGTGGGGTGGATTCCCGCCGCAAACAGAAGTGGGCCCAGTGGATCGCCCTGGCGAACGCCCCGTTCACTACGCAGGGGCTCGCTCGCAAAGTTCGAATCCAGATAGAGCCGAGATGGGTTACCGTAGGTCAGGCGAACCAGTGGGAGTAGAGGCGATAGAGTTGGCTCTTGTAACGCTGCTGCGATGGATTGTCGCGAAATGCTGTTGAAAGCATTCGCGATGTCGGTCTGTAGTACCAGGCTGTTCGGGTGGCCATCCACATATGTTCGGGCGGCATGAATTATCGCTTCCGCCCCACCTGGCACCGCCACTCCGTACTGTAGGGGTAGGAAGTGATCACGTGCAGCTTCGCCCATGACCAACAGCGCAGCCTTGGCAGCCAAACGCGTCAGACATTCGCCGATTGCGATTGGTCGGGCACCTCCTCCAGGCTTGGCCAGGGCAATGAGTCGAGATGCTGTCAGCAGGTCCGCCACCGAGGCTGGGAGGTTTCCCCCTAGAATTGTGTTTACCAAGGCGTGCAGATGGGTGCAGACGGATGCATTGGTTACGGCCGCGTCGCGAAGATGCTCAAATGTGGTCCCTGAGGGTCCGGCCCCCACACCATTATCGCATCGCCCAAGGAGTTTCGCAAATTCAGCGTGGGAAATGCCCAGGGGTCGGGTGTCGGTCTGTTGCCAAGTCAGCGACTCTGGCCCTGCTGGCGGGTGTTTCTAGCGAAGATCAGCCAGAATTTCTGGACTCGGCGTGCAGACGGGTGTTGACTCGAGCGCCAGCACGGCTCGGCGCAGACTGCCACGTTTTGCCAATCCCTCCGCTCGACTCAATACACCTGTCACGTCGGGTTGGTGACGCGGGGGCGGAGGGGAGTTGACCGCGTTTACTGCCTCCTGGTAGAGCTGCGTCCACTCGCCACGCTGGAAGGCCCGTAGCCGGGCCTTGATTTGTGGCCAGTTCGGGTGCTTTGGCGAAGCTTGGCGAAGTGTTAGACGCGGGAGGAAGAGGAGCAGTCGCCAGCCAGCCTCGGAATCAGGGTTTCGCGAGAGGTGGTGTAGGGGTGTCAGGAGTGCCAGCGAAAATAGCTGGCACAAATTTGGCGGTAATCGCCTTGACAGGGGCGGTTGTCGACTGTCGCAGAGGGCGGAAATATCCCAGTTCGCGATGTCAGCGAACATCTCGCTCCTCTCTGCCAGCTCCTCTGGCGAAAAATAGCGGGGCAACTGCGGTGTCGCGACTGACGAGTGGTTGGGTAATGCGGTCCGATTTCTTCGTGCGCGGCTCGATCTCGCTGACTGCTGCCGCGATGGGTTCACGTCCGTTCGATCAGCCGCCGACGGCCCCGATTGCCCGTGCGTTCCTGCCGTGGCTAAATTGGCTGCACCTGGTCCTCTTCTCCCTGGTCCTTCCCTTGTTATCTCAGCACCAACTCCCTCCTCGTTTTCACTCTCTGGCTCCACTTCCACGCTATAAGAGGGGTCATTTCTTTCCTCGACTTCATTAGCTGCCACCAGTGATATTAAAGCCCTTCGCCCTGCCGCCTGATACCCGTTCTCCGGTCCTCCGCCTGCTCCGCTAACCACCTGGCTCCTCTCTTCTCGAGCCCCCCGTCCATGCGATGGTGATTGCTGGTGCGCCTGAGCCGACGCCAGAGCTCGTTGCCTCCTGGTCGGCAATGGTCTCCAGGCCTCCGTCTGAGCCCGAAAGGGCGACCACGGCGACGAAGCCCCCTCTGCCTCCGGCTCCGAAGCCCTCGACAACAACCTCTGAAAAGGCTCCTCCCCCCGGACCCGAAGCTCTCCTTGTCGCGGATGCGCCTGCCGCTGCTGTTCCCTCTGCCCAGCCAGTGCCGGCTGAACCCCAGGCTGAGCCTCAGGCGTCCCCTGCTGCACCAGCGGTGTCTGTCGCCGACCCCTCGGCTCCCTTGCCTGCGGGGCTTGTTGCCGCGCCTGAGTTGCCGACTCCTGCCTCTGCCTCGTCCCCGCAGGCGGCGTCCGCCACCACTGGCGGCCCTGCCCCGTTGGTTGCGCCGCCGGTTGGTGGACCGGCTGCACCTGCTGTGCCACCGACTGCTCCTGTGGTGCAGATGTCACGCCCGCCGTCACCTGGCCGCCGCCCATCTCGCCCTCATTCTCCCGCTCCCCAGCAGGATCGTCAGTCCTCCCGGCGTCGGCGCAATTCTCCACTTCGGCCGCATCAGCAAGCCCAGTGGCACGCGAACCGTGGCGGCCACGGTGGCTGGTGGGGTCCCCGCGGCCGCGGTGGTGGTGGGGCGTACGATCCGCCGGTGAGGATGGCGGATCTGCAGCGGGCGGTGTCAACTGCGGTGCGTGAGGAGAGGGCCGCCCTGACCCAAGGCAGCTCTCACGCTGTCGTGGCACGTACTGCTCCCCGACAGGCTGTTCTTCCGGTGGATCAGCCGCCTGCCGCTCCCGTCCCGCATCAGAATACTGCCCCGTCGCCTCCCGCTGCCTCTGCCTCTGCTCCTGTTCCTGGCTCTCGGCTTCGCCTCCCGCCCGTTCCGCCTGTTGCGGGAGTTGAATTTGTGGCGGCGGGGGGGGGGTCGCAGTATCCCCATCCCGGGGTTGGCGGTTCTGCAACTCCCGCCCTCGAGGAGCCGTTTCAATTTCTGGCGCAGGCATTACAGCCTCCGCAGTCCCGCGTTCCAGAGGCCACTCTCGCCCAGCTCTTCCGCCTCGCGGAGAGCTTTCATGCTCTGCTTCTGATACAGGTTCTCGCGCATTCATCACTTCCCGCTGTTCCCCCCGAGACGTTCCAGGATCGCCACCGCGATTCGTGCCTGGATGCAGCCGACCAGCTCGCAGTGCTGCTGGCGCCCGTGCTGGCTGCGCCCGTAGAGGGTGGAGTTGCGGCTGCTGGGCAGCTCGATGAGGCTGTACGCAGCCTGAGGCGCCATTTGCGTGCAGGTTCTGGAGCCGCCGCGATCGGCGCAAGCACGCTTGTGGTCCGGGAGCTGTGGCGCTCCCTGACGGGCGTTCTTCACGCCCTTGGAGCTCACCGCATGTAGGCGCGGGCTCCGGTTGCACCTTTGATGCCATGCCTGTCTAGGTGCTTGTTGAAACCGTCATTGTGTGTATGTCCTTGCTTAGTATCTTTTGCGTGTGTTTGATCTTGCCGCCCCTCACGCGCGGCCGAAGGCCGCGCTGTCGAGCGTCGGCCGCCGAAGGCGGCCGGCGCGAGCCGCTCGGTTAGGAGAGCACACGAACACTGAAATGAATAATGAGGCTCTAGGACTAGTTCCTAGGGCCTTTATACTAGGCTGGAGAGGGCTGGAGAGGCTAAGGACTAAGCCTCTCTCTCTCTCTCTCTCCTCTCTCTCCCGCTCGGTTAGGAGAGCACACGAACACTGAAATGAATAATGAGGCTCTAGGACTAGTTCCTAGGGCCTTTATACTAGGCTGGAGAGGGCTGGAGAGGCTAAGGACTAAGCCTCTCTCTCTCTCTCTCCTCTCTCTCCCGCTCGGTTAGGAGAGCACACGAACACTGAAATGAATAATGAGGCTCTAGGACTAGTTCCTAGGGCCTTTATACTAGGCTGGAGAGGGCTGGAGAGGCTAAGGACTAAGCCTCTCTCTCTCTCTCTCTCTCTCTCTCTCTCTCTCTCTCTCTCTCTCTCTCTCTCTCTCTCTCTCTCTCTAATGGTCCTTGTATTGATAGAGTTGCAAAGTACATGCATGCAGGTGTTTGGGATTCTAGAACAAAACAGAAACCACAACACAACACTACCTACTCATTTCCTTCTCTAGAGCTCTAGGTAGGGCTCAACCACCGCAAAACAGTCCCCGGGGTGAAGCTCCTGACCGATACCTCCTACGGGCGGGTTCTCTGCTGCTGCCGCCTCGCCCAACTTGAGAAGGAGACCAACCGATTGGGCCCTCTGAAGGGCCACTGACCAGCGCTGCCGAAATAGGTGCAAAAACTTGGCGGCGTAAAAGGATTTTGAGTCGGCGTTGAAATGCCGCCGAGCCGCAGTATCCGCGAGAAGTTTTAGGAAGACCGGGACTTCCGCGCATGGACAGCCATAGGTGTCTACCGCTAGTGGGAAAAAACCCACTGTCTCTGGCCGGTTGGCATAGTGCTTGATTTTCTTATCAGCCTGTTCCCGAGCCGCCCAGCCCCTGCCTTTCTCTGCCTCCCGGTCCCTCGTGCTGATAGGGTCAGTGACGGTGACGTCACACACGTAAACCGCCCCACTGCTTCTATCCGTCATGGTGAAATCTGCGGTTTGTTCCTCGATGGGGCAGAAAACAGCCGACTCGCTGTGAACGATGAAACCCGCGTGCTGCGCCATGCTAATGCACGCATCCCGCAGCTCATTGTGGGTGTTAATGCGATGCTTGCCCGTGCCGCAGCGGAGGAGATGGTTCGGGAGGCGGGGATCTGTGATAGCTGTTTGTTCTGCGCAGTCACAGTTCTTAGGCGTGGAAAAGGGGAGGCCCAGCCGAAACCGCACGGCGTTCGCGAAGTGCACAGGGCCTATTCGTCTAGTGGCCTCGATTCGGATCGCAGTCAGCCAGTCCCCGGTGCCGTACCCAGTCAGCGAGAACATCCGCTGCGTATGGCCCGAGAGAGGGTTCGGTTGCATGTGCCTAGTTGCCTGGACCTGCGCTGCGTATCTGCTCCCGTGCACCTTCAAGCCGAGCACGTGCTGAAGCCAAACGTCCGATCGCTCAAACCGCTCCTTTTCCAGAATCTCCCGCGCGTCGAGAGGCAGGGCTGCTTCGCACTCCGTGAGCCACGAGTGGAGGGGGGTGTTGTCATCCCGGGGTGCCACCATGTGGTTCTTGGCCAAAGTCAACGCACTTTCTGGTTCTAGCGCGAGGGAGGAAAGAAAAAGCGCCGCTTGGGTGAAGCTCGCTGTGAAACCGTAGATCCCTTCTACGAGCAGGTCCGTTATGCCTATGCCGCCCAACGACGTCGGCAATGACGCCTGTTCCCAGACACGCTTTTGCTCGGCGCCACACGTTGGCGCGCGGATGTCGCATGAGGTGAGTAAGGTAATGAGTAAGTCCCTTCCCCACTGGCTCCAGGTGGCGCGAGGGAGTAAGTGGAGGGGAGTCGTCCTAATGAGGTAAGCTACACGCCTAGAAATACATCGCGTGAGGAGTAGTCCTGCCACCTGGGGGTCTGCTCGCTCTATCAGCGGTAGTGGCTTAGCCATTCCTTCTAGCTGGCCCGAAAGAAACCCGGCTGCTCCAGTGTCAGTCCCTATGTAGCTACCCAGAAGCCGTACTCCGTCCTTGGAAAAGGGCACCCCGGGCAGAAGTTGAGTCTGCGTGACTGTGGTTGAACTACACGCCGCGCATTTCTGCGGATTATGCGTCAGGCCCAGCTGCGCTAATTTGGCTGTGAAATGCATGAAAGCCGCTACAGTGCGCGATGGGTCACCTAGGA